GCCTGCGACACCATGCTTATTAGAGCAATAGGCGCTTTCACACGGCAGTACTTTTCCCACAGAGGTTCATGAGAACTTAGTTCATCAGAACTCTTTAGTTCTGATGAACTAAGTACAGATCGCGTTCACGCTGGAATAAATTCCTGGGGAAGGATTAGGCAAATTAAGCCGCTGACGTCACTTCTTCTTCTTCTGCTTTGGGTTTACTGGCAGGCCGCAAAGTCCCCGGAGTTGGGGACTGGCTTCAGTAGAAGCTGCTGGGAGTCACAGCAGATTCTACTTAAGCCTTCCGAGTAAATCGCCAGAACGCCGACACCTCCTCATCTCCACCGCTCCCATGTTTTATTTTGTGTTGCCATAAATTAGTCTCTCTGCATTTCTGCGCTGGGCTAATGCTAATGCTAATAATGCTAATGCGAGAATAATAAAATGGTGGCCTCACAACACTTTTTTTGAGTTTTACGGGGCGTGGTTTGAAATCCGCCCAGCCAATCAGAAATATAGCTCTTTTCTCACAAGAGAGCCGCATGAGAGTCCCTGCTCTCTAGCAGGGATGGAAAAGGGGGTAAAAAGGTTCTCATGAACTAATCTGAGTTCCGGCTCTTTTTGGTGTGAACGCGACATTTCGGAACTATATCGGAACTAAAGTGGGAAAAGTACTCAGATGTGAACGCGGCCATTAGGACTCTGTTAGCTTTCATTTATAAAGGTAAGCATATTTTAGTTTGAGAGGTCTAACTGAACAGAATTATGTAGCTTTATTAAAAAAACAATTATTTGAATCACTCAAACTTAAATAAATAAATTACAAACGATTTATTTGGCAAATAATGCTAAAGGTATAAAAGCTAAGCTAACAACATTTAAATGGACTATACAGAATAAAAACAACTTCTGGTCATGAATTTTTGTTATACGATACGTTCAATATAATTGCATTATCCATAGCGAAATAACTCCACAAGTTTGAGATTTTACTGTCTCAAAATATGCTCCACTAAATGGTTAAATGGTCTTTTACCAATAAAGGTAGGCTAGTTATACAAAGATAATAAACGAACAACATTTATAAAATAACTTGAAAAAATATTCAATGTTATTCCATCATACATTTAATGTAAATAGTATATTAGTATGATCTTTCATTATTTCTGACATTTTACAAATAATATATAATGTTCTTATATTAGAAAATCCTGAAGACACCCACAAATGAACCATTTACCTCACTAAACAGATGAGCAAGTATGGTTCATTCCTTAAAAAAGTATTTCAAGAAAATGTATTGGTTTCCAAATGTATTTTGATACCTTCACCATGAAGTGAAGTCTTAACCATTTGGTAAAGGCCCTTAATAAAAGTAAAATATTGGGTGCAGGGAAAGAAAAAGCCTCTGGAGGGTCTTTTGAAATCTGCTGGTAAAAATCCAATATGTATGAAGTACTTTATTCAGTCAGCAGCAGGCTCCTTGGGGCCTAATGCATCATCAGTTTATTTTGTGTCATCACCTAAAATCATATTTTTATACTTTTTTAACTTGAGGATGAGGTGCTATGTTTATATAATGTCATTTGTTCCATGTGTTAGCTTTGGACTGACAGTTTTCATTTGGTGAAAGAGTGAGTCCTTAAAATATATGTGCCTGTATATATTAAGTGGATCTATGATTGAAATGTGGCAGAATGTAAAGGTGTAAGATTTAGGTTTATTTCTGCATGAATAATTCGTAAAAAGGCAAATGTATGTGGAAAAACGTATTCACTTATGTGTCTTTCCATTTCTTCCAATCCCTATTTCTTCTATATTTTCTTGTCTTTTCCACAAGTTCTCTTTTCACTTATTGATTTTGATTGATACATTTGGAAATAAATGTATGTCCTCTTCCTTCACACGTTAGACAGGAGACGAGGAAGATGTTGGGGTTAGAGGTCATCGCGCTCTGTCTTCTTTTTGGAGCCCTGGCGCACGGCCAGCAGTCAGAGTGCAGCAGTAAGTGCCATCAAAGTGAATCTTTGTTTCCTTAAAGCCATAGTAAAACTACTTTATTGACATGCCATGAAACATTTAATCTGGATTTTAAATGCATTGCAATTTTCCACAGAGGCTTTACACATGTTTTTTCTTGCGTGTTCCCTCCAGAGAAGAATGAATGTCCCATCGAAGTGTACTTCGCCATAGACACATCTGAGACCATCGCCCTGCAGGAGCCGCCCCCTGGCGCGCTGGTCGAAAAAATCAAGGTTCCTCGTTTGCTGCAAATTCACCACTTAAACCTCAACACAAAATATTTCCATTTCATAGTGTCATCATCATTGCCATGTTGTATAATTTGGTGTTTCTTTCTATTTTAGCAATTCACTGAGGAGTTTGCACTGCGTCTGAAAGATGCTGAACTCAAAGGTGTTGTGCAAGTCAACTGGAACATGGGTGGACTGCACTTCTCCCAGAAACAGGAAGTGTTCAGTAGAATGGCATCCATTAAAGATTTCATCACTGTGAGTAACACATACTCAAACACACCAACACACACACACACCAAATTCCGTATATTCAGCCTTCAAATTATGTAAATACTGGTTAAAGCTGAACTACGCGACATCACAAGTATTGTATTGTACGTGATCACATACTGTTTGTCTTAAAATGTATTGAAATTAGATTTGTATTTTGTCTGATATTTTGGCATATACGCAGATTTTTTTGTCAAAATAAAAGTAAATCGCCACTGCCAAGGACACACAGGCTGGAAATGGGTAAACAACTAGCCTGGATGTCATCAAAATCTGCCTACCTACTTTAAAGGGGACCTATTATGCAAAATGCACTTTTGTACGTCTTTTATACATGAATATGTGTCCCCGGTGTGCCAGGGATCTCACCAAGTGTCAGAAAACACAACCCTCTCTCTTTTCCTCCATACCCAAATCTCTAAAAACGGGGCTGCAACGGATCTGATACAGATTTGAAAGTTCTCTGATGTCAGGAACGAGGAGCTCCGCCTATATGGGCAACTCTCCACCTATCAGGGGAATGAGAGGTTGCATGGTAACAGCATGGTAACATAAAGCTCGTGCCTCACCCCCCTCCTTTGCAGGGGGGCGTGGTCAGCTGTAGCTCATTTGCCACAGAATCAGCCCTTGTGAAGACAGGGCTGGAATAGAGCAAATAGAGTGAAATGAGGCATGGCTAAAATGCATGATCTGTTTGGTATTTTGAAAAAAAACTTCACAGACATGTTTTATATAGGTATGGCCCTACAATATATTATTCAAATATAGCATGATAGGTCCACTTTAAAGCTAACCAAATAACAAGCTAAATATTGTTGTTTAATACAAACAAAGACCAAACTGTTAAGATAACAATTAGCAGTTGTATGTGCTGATTATGTGATAAACACTTTTGGGCCCCAGTGATAACAAGTCACTTGTTTTTTTGTGCAGGGCGTCAGAGGAATCAAATACCTGGGTAAGGGCACCCACACCGACTGCGCCATCACCAACATGACGCAGGAAATACTGCGCACGGCGGCCTCTTCCCCAAAAGCCCTCCGATTTGCTGTGATCATCACCGACGGCCACGTGACTGGAAGCCCGTGTGGGGGCATCAAAGTGGCGTCAGAGAGGGCTCGCGACGTGGGCATCCGCATGTTCGTCGTGGCGGCATCGAAGAACGTGGATGAGACGGGGCTGAAGGAGATCGCCAATTCTCCCGCTGACGTCTACAGGAGGGACTTCGAGGTTGTGGATATTATCGATGGCAGAGTTGCCATACAAACAACCTCCATTGACCGGATCATCCAAACCATGGTAAAACACAAACACACAGACACACATGAAACATCAGCAACGATTGTTCTGCTCACACTTTGCTCCTTTTGTCTTCACAGGAACATCTGGCGTTTGTCGATGTAAGGATGAAAACAACAATGATCATAAAGATGTATTTCTTTGTGGCCCCATTGTTTACAGGTTTACCGTTTCCCCCTTTTCGTTATAGTGGAGATACTACAGCAAGTTTTTGAAATATTGTGTTTACATGTATGATATTTAGATTTACATATTGACATGGAAACAACCCTAGCGGCCTCGCCAAAACGTTCACATATATTTAAATTGCAGTTTATTATAAATATTTGTCCGTCCTTTATTTAATACTCCTTTTCACCTAATTATTATATAACCCACTCGTACCCCCTCCCTCCTAAACAAGCTGAGTTATTTTAAACTAAAACATATTCATTGAATTTCATCATGAAGATTTATATTTGCTTGTTCTTTTTCACTCAGTGTTACAAAGTGTCCTGTCTAGAGACCCCAGGGCCTGATGGTCCACAAGGCCACAGAGGACAGAAAGTGAGCTCTACACACACTGACACACTTTGCAGAATTTTCACACCAGTCACTTTCAACCTCACACACATATCTTCTCCTTTTGACTGCAGGGAGCTAAAGGGGACAACGGAGACCCAGGTCCTAAAGGATTGGGCGGTCGCCAAGGAGACCCTGGTATCGAGGGTCCCATCGGTCAGCCCGGTACCAAGGTAGGTCACAGAACATCCACCTGCCTCTCTTCACAATTCACTGAAGTATTTCAGAGTTTCTTTGTGTTTATATTATAACAACAAATGTTCTTCTTTTTGTTCCTGTCTGTAGGGAGATCACGGTCATATAGGCGAGAAGGTGAGGCATCATCAGCGCACAATTTAAGTGTTTGATAACTGACCTGGTTCATGGACTTTTGGTCGTTTTTTTAACATTTCTTTTGTTTGTTTCGCATCTCTTTTAGTACATTTCTGTCCGTTTTTGGTCATTTTGAGTCTCTTTGTAGACATTTTGCATCTCACTGTGGACATTTTGAGTCTCTTTGTAGACATTTTGCATCTCACTGTGGACATTTTGAGTCTCTTTGTAGACATTTTGCGTCTCCTTGTGGTAACTTTCTGTCTTATTTGAGTTTTTGCCTTTCTTTGTAGTCATACTTTTTTAAAATTATAATCTAGATGAATTATATCATATTCTGTTACTGAATAAACCCATTAATTAATTGTGTGTAAAATAACTGCTGATCTTCTGTCTGCCAACAGGGAGAGATCGGAACTCAGGGGAAAAAGGTAGGAACTTGTTCTCTATTTATATTTTATTGCCAAAATAAATCCCTTATTATTGTACATTCTGTTAAAGATATTGATATTTCCCATCTAATCGCCTTTTTTCTTTGTTTTCAGGGCGTTGGTGGCATCGCAGGGCGCAACGGGACAGATGGACAGAAGGTATGTGCTGTACAAGGATTAAATTGGCCAGGTTTAGTACATTGCCTCCAAATGCCTCCTAGAAACATTAACAACTAACTTATCCTATTCTGAAATGTTTTAAATAGTCGACATCTGATTTTTACCTTTTGTCTTCTTCCTCAGGGTAAAATCGGACGAATTGGCTCTCCTGGCTGCAAAGGAGACCCAGGCAACATAGTATGACTTTGTTAAACCTGATTCAAAATGATCAGTACATCCAGATTGCGTTGTGTGATGAAGTACTTATGGTGTGTTTGATGCTTTACAGGGTCCTGATGGTCACCCAGGAGACGTTGGTGAGCGTGGTTTAGGTGGAACTGACGGAGAAAAGGTGCGTTTGTTCACCTAAAACAAATTCCATTAGACCTGTGTTTGATCTCTGCCTGACCGTCTTTGTGTGTGTGTGTCTTGTCTTCAGGGGGATGGCGGTCGCCCTGGAAGAGCTGGTCCTTCTGGCCCCTCCGGAGATGGTGGACCTAAGGTAAACAAAAACACGGGGTAGTCAGTTATCTAATCAGGTCTTTCATTTCATCACTAAGGGTCACTTTGTTCTTATTTATATGTTAATATATTAAAATGCTAAACTCTGCTGCTTCTCCCACAGGGAGAGAGAGGAAGTGCTGGAGCGCCTGGCTTCCCTGGACTGAAAGGAAATCCAGTGAGTGTTCTACAGATTTGAGAGAGTCAAAGACATTATTAACATGATGTTGTTTATATATTTCAAACACACACTCATGATGTGCATCCTTTAGCTCACCTTTGTGTTGTTTTTCTCAGGGAACCCCTGGACTTGCTGGACCGAGAGGAGAGGACGTAAGAAATCACACATGTCACACTTCATCGGGCGCCTGTATTGGCTTCCTGTTACTTTTCTAATCGTCTTTATGTTCTAGGGGAGAAGAGGAGACTATGGGCCAAAGGGGACTCAGGGGACAGATGGAGGAAAGGGAGACAAGGTACGAGTTTAAGCACAACATCGAAAAAAGTGTGAATCTGTGATGTATTAATAATTATTATGATTATTTGTTCCGTCACAATACATTGTTCCACCACCAGGGGGCTTAACGCTGATGTTTCTGTTTCAGGGTGAAATGGGGCCGGAGGGTTTGAGAGGGCTTGCAGGTGAATCAGGAAACAAAGGAACAACGGTGAGATGATCTATATCATATTTTTAATCTGCATTCGTTAATATGAAGACCACCACTCTAATATACCCACTATCCCTGAAATCTCTCTCTCATTTCAACAGGGAGACAACGGACTTCCAGGCCCCAGGGGACCACCAGGGTCATCAGGCGAAGCCGGGAGAAATGTAGGTTTATATGTCTGCTCTGACTTTGATGTAATTCCTTACTATTGTTAAATGCAAATGTCCACACTAATGGTTTGATTGATAAGAAGCCACAAGCACCTCTCTAGATGATGTTGTACCATTTCCTTTTTTTTTTTTTTACAGTAAACAACATTTCCTTTTATCTAAATCAAATACAGTTAAAACAAAAATCCTTCCCTTATATTTACATAAATGTCTTTACAGTATGTATGTATATTTTACATAAAATAAAAAGTCACATATTTGGGGCTGTATCTCTGTACATTGCATTTTTTTCAATTATACATAATACTGTGAACCTTTGCACCTTTCTTAAGATTTAAAGATTCAAAGGCATTATTTTGACATGCACAATAGCTACAGCATCGTTTTTGACTGGAAAACCAATCTTAAGTCCCAGGCTCTTCCAACAATGCAACAAACAGTACTGAAAAATAGAGAAATAAAACTAGTGCAAACAAATAGTAAAACAGACATAAAGTAAAATGCAGGGATAAAAAAAAATATATATTATATAGCATAACATAAAATGGAATAGAACATTATATACTGAAAGATTAAGCAGAATAAATACAGTATATTGTGATAATATATGAATATGTGGAATAAACACTAACATTATGTAAGTGAACACTTTTGAAATGGTACAGCTCTTTCATTTGATTGTATGTTTTGACATTTATGTTTTAGCTTTCTTTCATTCTATGTATGTGTCTTGCTTTTTTCTTCTAACGTTTTTTAGGTTTAGCATCAAAGTAATTTTTTGTCGTGCTTTGATTCAGATTAGGGTTCATGTTACAAAACACTACATTAACACTGTTTGTATTTTAGGGTACCAGAGGTGACCCTGGTGATGCTGGACCAAGGGGAGAATCTGGACTGCTTGGGCCAAAGGTCTGTCTCTGTCTCTGTCTCTGTCTCTGTGTGTGTGTGTGTGTGTGTGTGTGTGTGTGTGTGTGTGTGTGTGTGTGTGTGTGTGTGTGTGTGTGTGTGTGTGTGTGTGTGTGTGTGTGTGTGTGTGTGTGTGTGTGTGTGTGTGTGTGTGTGTGTGTGCATCTTCCTCGGACGGTTTCAGGTCTCTTTGCAGTTTGTCTTGATTGTTTCATTGTCTCTATTCAGGGAGATCTAGGAAGACCCGGCTTCAGCTACCCCGGGCCGAGAGGATCATCGGTAACGTACACATGCGTCTTTTCAGCTTTACTACTCGAAGTGGCACACGTGGCTGACAAATCTCTCCTCCACTGGGTTTCAGGGTGAGAGAGGAGAGAAGGGCAACAATGGACCTCGTGGCGGCAGAGGAGACTGCGGGCAAAAGGGTGATCCAGGAAATAAAGGAACTTTTGGAGGAGCAGTGAGTTCATTACTTGTTATTGGGTGCATTCTGTTGCTGTGCAGCTACAAAACGCTAATGTGTCTGCTTACAACAGGGTGATCCAGGATCTCAAGGCGAACCCGGCCTAAGAGGGACAAGAGGAGAGCTTGGGCGTGATGTAAGTATATAAAAAGCACACTGTCAGTAAAGTGAGACGGATACAGCTGCATACACGATCACTGATATAGAGAGTGGCATCCAGCTAGTGCCAAACTCAGCTAATGTCTTCATGTGGTATAGACTATATTAGGGAGATATGCCAAAAAAGTGTTGAATATCGCAAAGAAGATAACACTTTGAGTCAATAAATAGATATTCAAGTGAATATGCTTTCATTATGCTTCTAAAATAAGACAAAATGCGTGTTCGATTGAAATAAGAACATTGTTTAATTGAAGATTGATGTTAAAAACAAATTTGATTTGCAGTTCTCCACTATAACTCACTTTCAACAAACACAAATGGTTGACATTGACTAGAATTGGAATCATAGGCAGAATAATGAATCCTTTATTCACCCCACAGCAAATACATTTACACTTTCATTTTTACAATAAAGGGGACATTGCAGATAAAAAGGCAAAATAAAACGAGTAGACTGAAATACAAATCTAACACAAAGACAGCAAAAAGAATAGCAAACGAAAGTATAGGAACAAATAAAAGTAGTCAGTAATAACATTACTAAATTGTAAAAAAATATATATATTTCACTATTATTTCACAGTCTTGTTACAGTCTTCAGCAAGTACAAAAAAGTATATATTGTGCATTCCTTTTATTCATTTGTTTACTTGATAGTGATTATTAGAAATAAACAGACGTGCAATCACCGCTAAATGCACTTTAACACAGGGGTATCTCCTCCTGCACTTTATATATCGTAGCTGCTACATTGTTCTGCCATGTGGTAAATGCTTGTATGCTGCTCATGCTTTTTCAGCATATCATATATTTATTTTTGCCATGTATATAACCGTCATGTTCATCAATGTTGTATATGACGGGACTACGGATGGAAATTAGCTCAAAGCTAAAAACCGGTTCATTTACATTTGAAAGCATTATTTTGTTTAAAATGTTCATCAATGTCCCGGTTCAAATAAACGATTAAATTAAATGAAAATGATCTTGTAGAAATCCCAAACCAAAGCTAAGAGGCAGGATGTGATTTTGTGCCTTCTCTTCCTCTGCAGGGAAACCCTGGTCCTGAGGGAGACCCCGGCCTCACTGTAAGAACATTTCATCTAAGCGCTCTTTTATCACAGCCACATTAAAATAATGGATTTAATGATTTAATTGTTCTTCCTGCAGGAATGTGATGTTATGAACTACATCAGGGAAACGTGTGGATGCTGTGGTGAGTTTTATTATCGCCCTTGTGTTTCCGTTTGTTATCTGAATATGCTCTGGCAGATTCTCACAGTTTGTGTTTTTTTTGTCGTCTGCAGACTGTGAGAAAATCTGCGGACCCCTGGACATCGTGTTTGTGATTGACAGCTCAGAGTCAGTGGGTCTGACCAACTTCACCCTGGAGAAGAACTTTGTTATCAACACCATCAACAGACTGGGGTCCATGGCCAAAGACCCTAAATCAGAAACAGGTTTGAACATGCATTTGTTCAAGTTACAAAAAATATGTTTAACAGAATTCCATTTGAACGTATCACGGTTAAAGTTATATTTTCCCTTTTTCCAATATTTCCATACACTCAATTTGACTAAATAGACCTTGAACACATCCGATTGTAACTTAATGGAACTTCTTTTAGCTTTTAGCTCTTGGCTCTGTCAGCAAAAAAAACATTTATTTTATAAGATTCAATAACAAACCTTTAAGGCCCAATTCCCCATTCAAAAATGCAAAATGGAGTTGATACAGTTAAAAAAAGGGTCTAGTCAAGCAACATAAATAATGAAAAAAGTGTCCGCGCGTTTTTTTGCCTCATTAATTGAAGTGATTTTATGATTGAAGCATGTCTGTACAATGTCATAAAAATGTACAAGATGGATGCTGACTTTGCTTGCTTGTGTCCCCAGGCACACGCGTGGGCGTTGTTCAGTACAGTCACAGTGGAACATTCCAGGCCATCAAGCTCGACGACCCCAAGATCAATTCACTGTCTGCTTTCAAGGTCTCAAAACACAAACACATGTTCAAACTGCTTTGAAGTGTATTTTTAGGGTGTTTACAGACTGTTGTTTTGTCTTCTTTTGTCCAGATGTTTCTTAATTAATCAGGGCTGATGTGCTGTCTGAAATAAGGCACATGACAACAGGGTTACATATGTGCACATATCCTGCACTTCAGTTCTGACATTAACCAAGTACCTGTATAGGCAATGACTTGTAGAACCATGTTAAAGACCAAAGCTGGCCTTTTTCTTTGTTTTCTCCCATTAAAAGACTACTATTAATATTTATCGTCCTTTACACTGTATTTTGGGTAAAAAATGCAGAGTAGGGCGTGTCACACTGGGCCATAGCTAACTATGAAGCTAGATTTATGCTAAAGGTTATATGCTAACCATGCTACCTCACCATTTGTGGATGATGGAAAATACAAGAAACTTAGCCTTCTGCTGAACCTGACATCTTAACCAATGAAAAGTTACCCTACCCAGCTAAGAGATTGTTCCCACTACTCCAGAGGTCTATTTATTGTTAGGCATTGATTCCAAGGTAGCTACTATTTTGTTGTCTGAGTTTAAGTTTTATGAACACAGTAAGTGCAAACAACTGCCTAGTAATTTAACTTAAGTGCAGTTTACAGCTATGACAATGAGTTTTTGAATCAGGATCTTCCTCTGTGTCCACTCTCTCTCATAACATGAACCTACAGACCTCTCACAGTCTGACTTGTCCACCATTCAGGACGCAGTGAAGCGTTTGGAGTGGATCGCTGGAGGAACATGGACTCCATCCGCCCTGAAGTACGCCTACGACAACCTGATCAGGGACAGCCGCAGAGCCAAAGCCAACGTCACCGTGGTTGTCATCACAGACGGACGCTTCGACCCCAGAGATGACGACTCGCTGCTCACCTACCTCTGCAGGTGCCTGGCCGTTAGGCTGCATATCCAGATTTAGAACTGTTTGGAAGAACAAAGCTTTATCTCATTGCTTGTAATGTGCGTGCAGCGATCCCAGCGTTGATGTGAGTGCCATCGGTATCGGAGACATGTTTGACCAGATAGAGGAGAATGAGAGTCTGAAGAGCATCGCCTGCCAGAAGGACGGCAGGGTGATGGGCATGAGGCGCTTTGCAGACCTGGTGGCCGAGGAGTTCATCGACAAGATAGAACATGTGATCTGCCCAGGTACGATCTATACTGAAGCACAAATTATATATATATATATATATATATTTCTATACACACCACTTCATTAACATTACTTGTATTACTTGCTGCTGATCTGTAGTGAGACTGCACAAAACTGTGCAATATATACTTCCACTTTTAATACAGCTCACCTGGCTGCTATCACGCTACTTTATACATGCTACACTTATTTTTCTTAAATACTGTCTCTGATACTGGATTTCAATATTGTAAATTGTAATTTGTGTAATTTCAATTTGTATCTTTAATATTTTATGCTTCTTATTAATATTAAGCTATTTATGGCTATTTACTTTTGCTGTAACAATGTACATTTCCTTATTCTGATTACATAGAGTATGTCCATCTGTTTATTGTGACCTTTTTGTGTGACATCTGTCGTTATCTTTGCTTTAGATCCCATCACCAAATGCCCAGACCTCCCTTGTAAATCAGGTAATATATTGAAATATTCTGTATTACGTGATATCTCCGCTTCCAGCGTTTAGGCCTGGGTAACCAGCATTCTTAAGGCAACTCAGTATAGCTCCGCCCCTCTCTGTTGGCTGTGTTAATGCGTCGTGTGTGTGGGACCCCGCCCACAATGAGATATCGCCCGCTTGTTTCAGGAGGGGGCGTAACTGAGGGGCAAGCCCCTCCCCCATGGAAACCTCTGGCAGAGGAAGGCAGCCCCTCATTGGTCCCCACCTCTTTGGAGGGTGTGACCAACCTGCTGAACGGCCTGAGCGAGCAGCAGTATGGGGTTGGCGTGGCAACCATGGCGTACACAGCCCAGAGAGCCAAACTCACCCAGGGAGCGGACAGGCAGCAGTGGACCCAGCTGTTCATCGACTCCTTCAAATATGTCTACGGAGACATTATGGGAGACCCAGAAAGAGCCTTAGGACTCTGCTAATGCTAATATGCTATCCATGCTACCTCGCCAATCTGGACGCCAACAACTAATAAGCTTACTGCTAGACATAGAATAGATTTTTATTAAACTGTGGGCATTTTTTATGAACTCAATGTGTGCAATGTTCACCTGGGCTGATGCAAAATGATTGCATGATATGAAACTGGCCTAGTACTAACATATCAAAGCAGCATTGTGTAAAGTTATACAGTATGATGATGGGTCGAAATTAAAAATGTGATGCTCCATCTTCTCATAGAACATTTCTAACTAAATATAATGAGCCTTCTCACAGAAATGTAAGACTGTTAGAAATATGATACATATCATTTCCTAAACCTTAGTGGAGGAACGTTCTCCATTCCCATTGAAAGCCAATGTCGTCCTTTTGTTGGAGGCAGATTGGTCTGCAGAGCCATTCATGTTGCTCCTGTTTAGTGTACAGAGGCTCTTTGATGAAGCCTCATTTCCACTGTGAATCACGAGCCCGCTGGATCACTACAATTACTTTTTTTCGCTGTTTTGCACATATCCATGGTTACGGCCTTAATTTTTTTGTGCTCTGGGAATGAGTCAGGTTGGTGAAAAGGCCATGACATTTGGAAAATATCTGGTTTTATATATATATAACAGCATATGAGTCAGACGTAGGTGTATGTTGATGTTAGGGTAATGGACTTGGCACTGAAAATGAAGGAAATATTGTCTGGTATGTCCTTGATTGGTGCATGTTTCTTTTGCATGTGGCTTGGCTTGTAAAGTAGGATGACTAGAGGAAAAGGACCACAGAGCGACGTTAACCAAATGTTGGCTCTGTTACTCAAACTTGCTGATATGAACTGTTTTGTTTTGTACAAGATGTATTCATGTTTTTATAATGCTATCTAAAGAGAATAAAATCATAAAGCAAACTACAAAAGTAATTTCTTTAAAAGGCCAGTACTGATATAAGAAGGTTTAAATGGGTTTAGGCAGGTAGACTTGAAAAACACCATGTTACCATATCATTTGCTGGCTTTGGCCTACGAGCATCTGTGTACCAGCTGTAGCTCTATGAACATCACGTTTTGATTTGGAACTTCATGTGTGTATGTGTGTGTTTGTTGCAGAGCCAGCAGTGGCTAGCTGCGTTCAGAGACCAGTGGATGTGGTGTTCATGCTGGATGGCTCTGAGAGGATGGGATTGGAGGACCACCGCAGGGCCAAAGAGTTCATCGAGAAAGTGGCTAGCAAACTCACCCTGGCTAGCAGCCAGACAGACAACAGGAACGCCCGCTTTGCTCTGCTGCAGTACGGCAGCCCCAAAGAACAGCGGGTGGAGTTCGCGCTAACGCACAATCTCACAGTGATCTATAATGCGCTGTCCACGGTGAACTACATGGACTCCTCTTCTGCTCTGGGCAGTGCTATCATCCATGCTGTCAACAACCTGGTGATTCCACAGGTATGAACACACACAAGCAGATTTCCTCTTTTTTTATTTGATTTCTTGTGTAAGAAGAATACCACTCATTCTGCACCAATTGGCAAACACCAACCAGTGTTGTAAACCTGCATTCTTTCTAATGGCCAGCAGGGGGCAAGGGTGGCAAAAAATAAGTCAAATTGTATAGAAGTCTAGGAGGAAATTACCATACTTTTTGTAAATCATGGTCCCATTTAGAACAAAATAAACATCAATATAGCAGTGTATGCTTTAGGGCAGTGCTCCCTTGTAATTGACACGTTGCTACACCTGCTTGTCCTTGTTTAAAACGTAAAAGTTCAACCCTTTCACACAGTTTTTTCGTTGCATGAAAGCTATTAGCAGCATTTTGGTTTCATGAAAATGTATTTTTCAGACTCCTGGAAGTAACCACCTACAGCCAAGAGTCAGTCAGGCATATAACTCCCAGAAAAAACACTACTTGTCAACTTTACACTTTATTTTTGGTAAATTAATATATATTTAAACACGGAACAGTGTAGCTTCTCCCCATGTTTGTAGTCTTCATAAGCTAATCACATCCTAGCTCTAGCTTTGTCTTGCTATAAAGTCGTAAGAGTAGTACCCATCCTCTATCTCATCTCTCGGCAAGAAAGCCAATAATAACATGTCAAAAACAACACATAAACATGTTATTAGCAGTTTTGGCCTGCTTCTTGTCTTTATGCCAAGCTAAATGTATTTGGCTCCAGCTAGATAACAACACACAGAAATTAGTATGATATGAATCCTCTTGTATAACTCTTGACATGAATGAAAGTGTGTTTCCATTGTAACATTGCATTTTGTTTTTGTAGCAGGGAGACCGCTTGGTCCGTCGTAACGCTGAGCTGGCGTTTGTGTTCATCACCGATGGCATCACAGCCAGCGAGCAGCTGGACGAGGGCGTGTCTGCCATGAGGCGAGCGGAAGGCGTTCCCACGGTTATTGCCATGGGATCAGACACAGACGAAGAGGTGCTGCGGAAGGTGTCGCTAGGGGACATGTCGGCCATCTTCAGGGGAGCTGACTACAGCGTGCTGAACAACCCCTCGTTCTTTGAGCGCTTTATCCGATGGATATGCTAGTGAGCAACTGTAACACTCTGCACCATAGAGTTAGAACCCAGAGAGTGAAGGAAGCTCCTTCAGCTACACGTAAACACACACAGAGTTCAACAAACCTCATTCTCAATACTGGATGTAAGGCACTGTTGTGGGACCAGATTAATTTTGATAAAAAACAAAACTATCCTTGTAGGATCAGCTGATCACACTCACACAAACACATAGGCTTGCAATATCATTTGTAACTCGATTGTCATTCTAAATCTATTGCCAGCACTTCCAAAGACACTCACAAGTATCCGGAGGAGAGGTGTATGATTATTGAATGTGTATGAAACAAATTGTACACTTTATTTTGTTTTTATTTTGTATTGAAGTCTCTCTCTCCCTCTTTCTCTCTCACCCCTTCTCCCTCTCTCTCTCTATCTCTCTCTCTCTCTCACTCTCTCTCCCTCAGTCTTCACAAAGTCAGTATTTACATTAATGGTGCTAAAATAGAAATAAAGGACAAAGCCATCTGATTGGTTCTGAAAGCTTTTTTTTACATCGTGGTAATGATGTAATTACTGTAGTATGTTCATGAAATGAATGCATTGAGACATATCTTCTACATGGGGAAACAGATATCACATAAATACCCCACACTCAGCCACATGAGAATCCCTCACCGGGTACACGCTGTAGTTAATGACACACATATTGAGGGACAAATGGAAAATAACCAAATCTGTAAACATTCATTCCAAATAAAGCCTAATGTGGTGACCCCAACTCTGTGTTCTGTGTTTGCTAAACTAATACATGTGTGATGTGTTCATGTGTTTTTTATCCATGTGCAATTTGTCATTGAATCACTGCAAACACTGCATGAAGGAGGAGGCAATGATTTTAATAAAGTAAATAAGTCACATACTTACATACTACACTTTAATATTTTGGAATGTAATAATGATCTTCTATCCATAATTTTAATTAGACAAATGTTGTCTGTTATTTCAAAAAATGGGTGTAGGCCTATGTGCATTTGGCTCCCTCTGCTATACGGAAAGATACAAAGCGGAGTGATCTGTTTTGCAGCTTTAGGCTACAAAATATAATACATTCAAATCAACTGATACATTATAATTAATTATCAAAGGTTAAGTTACACAGCAGTGTAATTGCCCCACCTTTACCAGCTGCAACCACATTCAAGTTTTTACATTTTAATGCAATAATAATTATATTCAAATATTGTATTACCATTTTTGCATAATCGATACTTCCACTTATTGTACTTTCAAGTTAATTTTGATGTTAATAATTTTTGTATCAAAACGTTGAAATTGTTATTTTCTAAAACATGAACCGTATAGCTAACGTGAATGAATGGCCACTTCCGAGGTTTGTCCACTCGAGGACACCGTAAGAGTTACGTGACCACAGCTCTCGAATCCGTGGCCCTTTCTCATTTCTCTAACTCCCCTCCTCGACTCCACGACTCCTATCCTCGAGACTTATTCCCGCACACAGGATATGCGAGCGGAGGAGCCGAGGAGGGAACCGAGGAGAGAGGAGGGGAAGCAGCAGGTGGTTAGAGAAATGAGAACTCCTCTCCTCTGGGCGGTCATTTTAAAGAGACGTCCATTAATGATGACAGGAGGCACAGCCGCACTCTGCTGATGGACAGATGTGTTCATGACGACTTATATATTTACTTTTAATTCATTCACAGTGCGGTATAATGCGACAATAGCAGGCTATACGGGCGGGCGGGCACACACACACACACACACACACACACACACACACACACACACACACACACACACACACACACACACACACACACACACGTACTACGTACG